TCTTCCGGCCAACGCGCCTTCTGAATACCAACACCTGTTCACCCGTGAACTGGGTTGTGTTTGCGGTTTTTAACATAAAGTGATGCGTCGACCAGGTGTGTGCCCTGTGCGTGCCAAGCTGCGCCACATTCCTCTTCTTCTCCGTGAGCAAGTCTCTGCTGAACTGTCTCGCCTTCAAGCCAGCGGAATCATCGCGCCTGTCTCTGCTTCCGACTGGGTTTCTCTACTGGTCGTCGTCAAGAAAAAAGATGGATCCCTTCGACTATGTGTCGACTTACGAGAACCCAACAAGGCGATCGTCGTAGATGGTTTTCCACTTCCTCACATTGAACAACTGCTTCATCAGCTCTCCGGAGCGGTATGTTGCTCCAAACTGGACCTCGCGTCCGCTTATCACCAAGTTGAACTTTCTGACTGCAGTAGAGACCTAACCACATTTGTATCGCACGAATGCTTGTTTCGGTTTCGCCGCGTGTGTTTCGGGCTTGCATCTGCCTCTGCAGTGTTTCAGAAAATGATGTCAATTGTTCTTAAGGGTCGTAATGGCGCCCTTTGTTACTTGGATGACATTTTGGTGTGGAGACGTACTCGCGAAAAGCACGATGCTAACTTGCATACTGTTCTCAACCGCATCAGCGAATGTGGTGTGAAACTTAATAACAAGTGCATTTTTTCGGTGAATGAGTGACAATTTCTAGAACATATTGTCAGTTCCCGCGGCTTGACACCTTTTGAATCTAAAGCTCAGGCCATTGTCAATGCCCCACGGCCTACTGATGCCAAAACCTGGCAATCTTTTTTAGGTCTTGTTGGTTATTATGCCACGTTTGTCCCTTACTATGCTGATGTTGTTGAACCACTGCGTACTCTACTTCGACATGCACAGCCTTTTAACTGGTCAGGTGAAGCTGAACAGAGCTTCATTCGAGTTAAGTCAATACTGGCCTCAAAGCCAGCTGTTAGTATTTTCAATGAGAAGCTTCCCATCGTCATCACGACGGATGCATCCGATGTTGGACTGGGAGCAGTGTTTCAACAACTCAGAGGTTATCAGCTGATCACTATCGCTTTTGCATCTCGTACATTGACCCCTGCTGAACGCAGATATTCAGTAGGAGAGCGCAAAGCTCTCGCGTGTCTTTTTGCGAGTGAGAAATGAGATGTTTACTTCTGGGGCCGGCACTTCACATTACGTACGGATCACCAAGCACTAGTTGCTCTTCTTTCTGCAGAATCCGAAGGCCGCCGCCCCATTCGCATTTTCCGTTGGTGTGCCAAACTCATGTATTATAATTTCAGTGTTCAATATTGTAAGGGTTCTAATAACGTGGTTGCTGATGCACTGTCGCGCCTTCCTCTTCAGATACCGGTTACTGAAGAGCGGGATGAGGAAGTTGTTTCATTAGTTGCTTCCTGCATTACTAAAGCTAAGCTTCAGGCAGCTACAGCTGCAGATTCCACTTTGTCTCAAGTTCTCAAATATTTACGTGAAGGATGGCCTTCGAAATGTGCTCTTGCTTCTGAATTCTTGCCTTACTTCGCAGTCCGACAGGAACGGTCTTGTGTTGAGGACTTGCTTTTCCGCGATGAATGTGTGATTCCCCCTGCTTCTTTCCGTAACAAGCTAATACAGCTTGCCCATGAGGCCCATTCAGGCATTGTCCACACCAAACAGAATCTCCGAGACAGGTACTGGTGGCCAGCCTTAGACAAGCAGGTCGAGCATGCAGTTTACAACTGCCATATATGTCAGGCAGCTGACAAGTCTGCTAAACCTGCATTTTCTCCATTGCAGCCAGTCCAGTGGCCTGATCGGCCTTGGCAGAAACTCGGCATGGACATCATCGGTCCTTTGCATAACGTTCCGCAAAATGCCCGGTTCAATGTTTCTCTCATCGACTACCATTCCAGATGGCCAGAGCTTTGTTTCACACATACGGTTACTTCTGAGGTCATCATTGAGTTTCTGTATTCAATCTTCAGCCGGGAAGGTTTTCCTGATGCCATAGTTTCAGACAATGGTCCACAGTTTCAGTCCCAACATTTCGAGGATTTTCTTTCACAACGAGGAATTCAGCACTTGACGTCATCAGTTTTCTTTCCCCAGTCAAATGAGCAAATCGAGCGCTTTCATCGCGTTCTCAAGCAACATATCCAGATCGCCCAATTAGAGCACCGTCCCCTCAAGCAAGTCTTGACTGAATGTTTCGCTTCGTACAGGTTCACACCACAAGGCACCACTGGAGTGTCTCCTGCTCCGCTTCTCCACGGTAGGCAACCGCGAGTTGCTCTCGACATAGTCTCTTTGCCTCGTAACATAGCAGTGTCTTCTCGTGATCAAATCTGTACCAGGGTTTTTTCTCATCAACAAGCAATGAAAAAGTATGTCGACACCCGTCGAGGTGCAAAGCAGTCCAAAGTTCGCACTGGCTATCTAGCCAAGGTTCGTGTGCCAGGCAAGCGCCCCAAGTATCGGGGTCCTTAGAAAGTGTTGGGCAAAGTTAGCCCCCCTTCTTTTCGCTTATTAAGTGATGGTAACATCTGGAATGCTTCGCGCCTTGTTATTTTTTATACGGATTCGCCTTCAACACCTAAAAGTCTTCCCCATCACGTTCCGTCCACGCCTTTCAACTATGCATCAGTGGCCTCCTATGTTACCTGCGGCCTCCATGTACAGGCAATTCTTCTTCAAGGGGGGAGGAGTTATGAGTCGGTGTCGCTGGTTCAAGTACACCAAGTCATACGGTTCACTCCGAACGTTCAAATACGGCTGAGACCGTTGAACCGGACTCCGGTTCACAAAGTTCTTTCGAAGCTCATGCTGCGAGCTCTGATGAGACCGTGAATTTCAACGCTCGTTCAGAGCCTTCACAATCTTCTACTGCTCTTGATGAGTCACATCAGAGCACAAGTGACGAAGGTGCAGAGACACCTGATTCTACACCCAAAAGGGCCCGCCCTAAGCGGAAGCGGCAGAAGCAGCGTCAGTTTGAAGACTACGTGATGTAGAACTCTTGTTCATTACTGTTCGTGAACATTATTGTTCGGTGCAGAGGTCCAATGCATCCAAATCAATATTGTACTGAGTTGTGTACATTTTTTTTCAGTGCATTTTGAGGACTTCCATTGTACATTTTTTCAGTGCATTTTCAGGACTCATAATGTGTGAGTTCAGTGTTCCGTGCTCTGAATTTTCATGTGTTCTAACGTAATACCTTGTATATTACGTTGGTACCGATCATGTATAAATATACCCAGTGTATAGGTGAACTTTCAAGGAGGGGATGATTGTTGTGTTCTGGGTTGTCGGTTTCGGTTTCGAAATGACATGCGAGGATGCCAGGGGGCGCCGTTCTGGCATTCAGGATTTCAAGGCGACAGTAAAATAAAGGGAGTGTGCGTTGGGTAACCGTGAAGTGTGGTTGTTGTTCTTCTCTTCAGCGCTTCGCGCCAACCCGCGTGTTCGGGCTGGTCGGCGTCCCCGCCGGCCGCGTTCGTCTCCATCGGCCGTCTTCTTCTGCTTTGTCGGGACCAGCCAGCCACAACACAGCAATGTAGCTTGCGTGAACTTGGGACAGTCTTCGCAGGTTGATGTGGCTGCAGTATTAGGCAGACGGGCAAACTGGCGACTGATGCGATGGCTCTTGGCGTGCTCGAAGCGCTGACATTCCACAACTGCGTCGGCGTTGCGCAATTTTTAACGATCAACAAATTAAAGGCATTGTCGTCAAATACCTTTAGTATGTGGTCTATTTTGTGAGTTTCTCTCTTGTTCTCGTCCATCTTTCGACAGAGGTCCAATACGCCCTGTATATAAGAGACACATGATTCCGTCGATGTCTGAACGCGACATTCCATGTCTTCCCTCGCGGCCTGCTGTCGCTCAAATGGCCTACTGAACATCTCGACAAGCTTCAGCTTGCAAATGTCCCAGTTAGTCCACTCCGACTCATGCGTCCTCATACAAGATGAGTGCCGTATCTAGCAAGTAAAATACAACCTTGGCCAGCGTCTACGTGAGGTCCCACCTGTAGTATTCGACACGCGCTTGTACAATGCGACCCAATCTTCGACATTCACCTTGCTTTGCCGGGGCCCGAGAAGGTTCCGGGTCTCGTGGAGGGAGGAGAATGACAGGAGGCAGCTGCTGCTGCTGCTACTGCTGCGGCTGCTGTTGCTCTTGTTGGTTGGCCTGTTGAGCCATTGCAGGAAAATGAAGGTGGCGACCGCTCCTAAGTTCCGTGTTAGTTTGCCGGGGAGCCAGGTAGGCATACCCCGCATTTCCACCAATAATCTTACAAGGAAACGTATATTTGCGGATATTTACGATGTCTATACACGCGGCGACAATGGCTGGCACACTGGTGGGCTGGGGCCAGTCTCTATCCACTTCGTAGTCTTTTCTTCCAGGCACAGAGCTTCTACCACTTCATGCTCCGATCCCACTACTGCCTTGTGGCAATATGGCTACCTCAACGCCGTTTCGTGCTTTCGTAAAATAGAACAGTAACAGGCATTTTCTTGGTTAGTGATTTTGTAAGGTGACATCATTTATTGAGAACGTAATGCACGTAAATTTCATTTTTACTTATAATTTCGAAAACAAAATATAAGGAACAAGAAGTGCACAATTTTTTCACTTACCGCGCTTTAAATTCATTACTGTCGAAATTGCTTGAAAAGCGCTTCAGCGACTGAAACCTGTACTTTGTTATGAAAAATAGAATGTTAGCATATAAACCTTCATAATTACTGTTTCATGTCTGAAACATCCACTTCATGTAATATTTCTGAAAAGTGAAAATTATGACCATGTCTTGAAGTTCAACGTTATTGAAACTCACTTCAAATGTTTTCTGTTTTTTTACTTTTTATAACCAGCTGTATGATTAGCTAAAACGCAATTGCGTATTTTTCGTGTAAGTTATGTTGCCTTGTGTAAGACACGAAACCCACGGTTTTTTTTCTAGCCGGTAAAGGTCAAGAGTACTTCATGAGCTATTGGAACCAAACCGAAAAGTGCGCCTTATTTGTCCGCTCAGGTAAGGTTCATTTAGAGTACTGTATTTTTACACTTAAGCTTTTGTAACGGGTGTTATCGGCTTAGTATACCTAAAGCTTAAGACACAAATTCGTTACCAATATAGCCTCCTTAAATGATTACAACCAATAAACTGAACAGGCAGTTGATCAGGTACAAAAACATGAAGCTTCACTTGTCCCCTTTTATAAATCCCGGAAATCAGTGTTCGGTGTATCGATCGCACCACTGTCACTCAACAAGCCTGAAAATGTTGGCACGAGAATGAACCCCGCAGATACGCCTATTTTTATGCGGGGCACAAGCGATGAGTGGCTCACATGGGGACCATCATGGCCCCTACCATTTCGTATTCATATGCTTCCCGTATATTCATGCTATGCAAGCGTGTGCCCCTTGAGCACCCAGTAGGAAGTGTGTTAGACGTAGTGTATCTGGCCTCTCCCTGCAGAGCCATTTATTACGAAAGATGAAAAATTGATGAACTGCAAGATGTACAAAATTACAGTCGCCCCATCTAAGAGTGGTAATGTCATACGAAGTATAAGGCTGGTAGCTAACTTTTTTTAATCCGACCTCGCTTAACACTACAAAACTCTGTGTAAGAGTTAATGCAGCCATTTCTGAGAGAGAAGTGGTTCTTGATCGGTCTCTTTGCGTTGAGAATGTGGGCGGATGTATTAGCAATTACCTGATGCCTGCCGAGAAAGCGCGTGCCTCCTGGTGATATAAGTTCACAGTTGATACTCCAGCCGGCGAGCCCCCCCCCCCCCCCCTTCTAGCCTCTGTCACTCCGGCATGACAGATGGGGCATTTCCTGATTGTTTGAGCAGAAACCGAAGGTAGGCCTGACGTGCGACCAGATATCGTATCCACCCACCGAGTGACAGAGTTGGGCTGGTTCGTTTCATCCCTGCTGCAGCTGAGTTTGTCGTCCCGGCTTGCGAGCATTTTCTCGTGGGTAGAACATATGATGCGCGGAGGATCTAATCAATTTGGGTTATATATGGAGCGTGATGGAGACGACGCGGACGATAACTTTCCGTGAGTGTTCGTATAATTGCTATTATTGTACAAAATGCTAGTTGCAGCTCTTAATAAATATTACTTTCACGTCGCACGGGCACACTGCCAGAAAAATAATGGCTTGAGTATAGCGGGGCGTTGCTGCCGTGGGGAGTGCATTGGATTTAGTAGCAAAAACCAGTCATGGAAGATCATGATTGCATTGACTTTTGGAAATCAGTGTAACATCCTGTATTGAACACCTAACAAGGAGATGCAAGTTCCGGCCCACGATGTATGCTTTCCCGCTGTTCAATAGTGTCCCGTATCACCTGCTCATTATGCTCGGTTACATTGGGATATTCTAGACGCTAAGCTACAAGCACAATTAGTTAATCTCCATTTCATATTAGATGCGACGAAATCAGATACCCTGGAGCACGAAGAGGTTTACGATGGTCTGACCTAAATATAAGATCCCTTGAAAATAATTACAAATGTTTAACTGAAACTAGCATTAGATATGCTAAATTGACGTGTGGCACGTTTTCACGCGTAGATATTGTTCTTCTTTTAACATTGTCAAAACACGTGTAACAGCCCTAAGGGGGTGTGAAACGTATTCGACCATGGGAGAATGGGTCCCAACAACCCACTATAGGTTCTAGGTTCGCGACTATCTTTATAAGCAGAAGCCTAATGAATATTTATCATCACAAGAAAGACTGATTAGCTAATAAGACTGTTGAGGAGAGTCGCTAAAGAACATGCAGCGTAGTCAGAAGACATCGTCCCGAGATTTGCCCAGGATTTATCTTTGTGTCACTTCTGATATATCAATATATCGATCGTTCTATCAATCAGTCAGTCAATCAGTCAATTATTCAGCCTTTATTTGTCATTGAGAGATGTATGGTTTGCAGGAGAAAAAAAAACGTGGCTAATATTTTCGTTTTTAGGAATTCGTATAACACAAAAGTGAAATGTGTCTTTACAGAAGGAGTGCTTACGATGTTGTGATATATGAAAGCTTGTACAAATAGGTTTTGTCAGCTATAGCACTGATTGACGTGGATACACCCATGTTGACGCCTAGTGGCACATCTTCGTTGCGGTGACTGAAGCCCACGATCATCATTTAGGTTTTTTTGGAAGCTGAAGCTGTCAACATATACAACTTCATAACTTCCTTTACTTAAAAACTGAATAACATTCTAGAAGACCACTCAAAATCAGCGACCCCCCCCCGCAGTAGGTATGAGCCATAAGAGAAAATCAACAAGAACAAGAACTTGGACACAGTGTATCATGAATCTCTCAACAAGCACAAACTAAGCGCATGCACTAGGTGTGCGCTTCTTCCAAGCGTCGTCAATTATGGAGAAACAGCATCGAGTGCCGTCCTGAGTAATAAGGTAACCTACACCAGCAGTCATGTATACACTGCCATAGTGCGCTTCAGCAACGGGGGAGGCAGAAATTAGTAGATTGAGCAGTGAACACGCGGATGTGCTTCACGTCCCGCTGGCCTCTGCCTCGTTCGTCCAAGACGTGCCGTTTGGCCATCGACATCGCTGCATTGCTGCAGAGCTTACTGTAATAGTTTCATTTGCCGATGATGTCGTACCCGATGTGGTTGGCGTCGAAACACCATTAGTGCCTGTGGAAGCTGCTCGACTCTGACAACTAACTGTCACACCCTAGCATGAGCCGACAGGAAAAGAACTTGACTGCATCTGTCTAGAAAGCTCACCGATGCTCTATGGACACAGTTCTCTTTGTTCGCTTTTACTAGTTGAATAGTAAAAGCTTAAACCAGGGCACTTTAAATTGCACAGTTTCGGGCGCCTTGCTATACTTGTGTCAATGGCCAGTCGTTTTATGTCCACTATAATATTGAATAATTGAAAATATCATTGAATCCGCTGTAGTAAGTTACATGCCACATCGCTTCTCTTCCCCGCTGTCACATGACGGCACCACCCCATTCCGCCAAAAGAGGCCACCATGTGAGAGATATCGTTTGAAACGCCCCTGGCTTAGTCTATATGTGTTTGTCGATTGCTTAGTCGGTAGACCAGCAGCCACATATCATTGTGCACCAAGGGTCGAAAGTGCGTTTCTTGAGGACTATTCCGCCTCAGTTTTGCTTTCTCCGTGGATTGCATTTGCTTTATCTTTCTCATATCCGTGATGGATGTGCGTAACTGTACCCTGACATAAAATATTTTCGTGTTAAAATACCTTAAAATACCCACAATATTGCGGCTTGACAAAGGTGATGTAGCTGCGATGCTTAGGTGGACATATACAAACAGGTTGAACAGGTCAATGATAATACTTGTTATAAGAGCAAGTGAATGGCTTGTTAACTCACCGGATTTGATATTGTTTAAATTAGGGCTCTGCGCCACAATAGTCGAGAGAATTGAAACTCAACGGCTAACTCTCAGATAGACCCTTTTTAGAACACAGATAGGTAGAGCAATACTCAGTAGAGAATCCAGTAGGTAGAGAATCTCGTAATTCTGGTGAAGTCCTAATAGAACATAAAGATAGCAGAGGAGAGATAATCCAATATAATAATAATTGTTGTTCGGGTTTAACGGCCAAAAACCATCATATGATTATAAGAGACGCCGTATGGGAGGGCCGTAGTGGGCCGCATTTTCAACGGAGGCGAGAATGCTTGAGGCCCGTATGCTTATAATTAGATGCAAGAGAAATAATCAAGACAACTTATTTGTCCTGAAACAGGCACTTGGATATTGCTGGCCAAAGGAGACGTACACCGAACGAGACATCCTCCGTGTCATGCCTCCCACTCCGGTCAATGCATACCTATTTTCAGTTTACTGTGAGCCTCCATATGCCGGCTCCTTTCCCCGGTTACATAGGTGCAGGGGGCTCACTGTGTGGTGGGCTCACTGCACGGCTGCGGCAATGAGAGAGGTTATGCTGCCTATGTCAGCTGTGGTCACAAGGGATTGATTGATTGATTGATTGATATGTGGGGTTTAACGTCCCAAAACCACCATATGATTATGAGAGACGCCGTAGTGGAGGGCTCCGGAAATTTTGACCACCTGGGGTTCTTTAACGTGCACACAAATCTGAGCACACGGGACTACAACATTTCCGCCTCCATCGGAAATGCAGCCGCCGCAGCCGGGATTTGAACCCGCGACCTGCGGGTCAGCAGCCGAGTACCTTAGCCACTAGACCACCGTGGCGGGGCGGTGGTCACAAGGGGGAAAGTCATCGCAGTAGTCGTGACACTTCGTGCACAGCGTCACTGGAGAGGGGCAACGCCATAGAGCAAACTACAGGTGCTTCCGCTCATGCGCATCATGGTTCCCGAGCGTCAGGATAACAGCAGTGTTTGTGATTATCAGCATCAATCGCCATGACATTCTTACGCTGTTTCAATCTGATGTCGATGATTTCATCTGGCACCAGTCGCTGGAGCCGCGCCGGTAGAAATTGTTAAGGCGCTTCATGTAGCCGTTGGGCTCAGTAGGAACAGAAATGATGGTGTTGGCGTCTGACCTTCGCGGAGCTCGTTCAATCAGTGTGTTCGGGGATGAAGAGGTCCTGGCGTTACGTATCTGTTTTTCGGCTCGTCACAACTTCGAAGTCATCAACAGACAGCCCCTCACCTGTCAGTGAGTACCCATCAGTGTCCCCGCTGCCACAGTCGGGTCCCGCCCGCTTCCTGGTCGTGGCCGTCGTGGACGCTGGAAGACTTGGTAGATATGCGAACTGGTCCATGTACATCGCTGATGGCCCTTCATTTGTCAGTGAGTAGACATCAGTGTCCTTGCTGTCGCAGTCGGGTTTCGTCCGCTTCCTGGACGTGACCGTCGTGGACGTTGGAGGAACTGGTAGATATCCGAACTGGTCCTTGTAGATCACAGATGGAGGCAGCAGCAGAGTTCACAAAGGGCACATGTTATAGAGCAAACATGGCGAGCAACATAGCAATGATGGTGTTTT